ATATTAAGATGCGTCTTAATCCAGACCGAGTTGTAGTCTTCTTTCAACTCAAAGAGGAGTAAATAATGATTATAATTCAAGAACTTAGGGGTCACTCTACCCTTGAAACCCAACTTGACCAAACCGACAGATAAATCCCGGAGGGAAGGGACAGTGAAGGAAAACTTTAAAATGAGTGCATTATCCATCGACCCAGCTAGGGAAATAATAGTGGGCTCAGGGAAACTTACCTTGAACCTGCCCTCCTCGGAGCGGGTGACGGTACCGCTCTGCGTGTCCTGAAAGGACTCCAGACTGAGTTTCTGATGTCCCGGTTTGGCGGTGGAGGAGCCGGTTACCGCGTCCCGAAAAGATCGTGCTTCGGAAGGCCGAGAGCTTTGGTTCACCGCTTGGGGGGGAGGGATGGCCGTGTGCGGACCTTGACCCACGCTGTTCCTTGTCAGCCGCTCACTAAAGTCCATGAAGTTGACGAAAGTGGTCTCCTCCGGTGGCGAGATAATAGCCGAAGTTGGGCCACGGCCTAAAATACCGCCCATCGACAAGGAGGGTACTCCATAGCCGGTAAAGGATGAGGTGAGGTGTCCGAGACCAATAAGAGCATTGGCAGCGGTGGTCTGGCCGGACCTAAAGGTCTCCGTCGAGTTGACAGCCGGTATTTCGGGTACCGGGCCCGCGAGAGAAGATGCCGGCGGAATATGGGGCCCGCCTACCTGAGAGATGCTGACGCTGGTGCCGGAGCTGGAGGGCAGGTCACCGGCCGGAGGTAAGGTGTCTGAGGTGTTGACCGACGAGAAATAGATGGAGGCTCGACGATCTTTCTGGTGCAGAAACGAAGGGACTGTATGGTCACTGTTGGGCTTGTAGTGGGGGGTTGTGCTAGATGGGCTGTTTAAGGGGACTGAAGAGTGTGTTGGGGAGTTGGGAGAAGACTGGAAATGGGCCATGGAGGGTGACCCATAGGGTTCATTTGGGCTTTGAGTTGGGCATAGTTCAAGAATTGGGCCTTGAGTATGATTTGGCCCAATATTATGGTCCTTTTGAGCTGAGGGTAAGATGTGAGTTAAGGGCAAAAATGGAAGATGTGAGTTGCGGGTTTGAGCTGAGGGCAAAAGGGGGGTTGAGCTGCGGGTATCTAGCGCCGCAAATTCTGACGGAGGGGAAAGGGGTCTCACCGGGAGCGAACCAAATTGGACCCAATGTTGGTTATCGAGATCCTGACCATCTGGAGCGACGGTGTCAGAGGGGATGAACGGTGTCGCCGCTACATGGGAGGGAGAGCCTGCAGCAGAGCGAAGGACCTGCGGACTTTCTGGACGGGGGAGATGACTCGGGTCAGGTTGAGAGAAAGTGGATCTGAGAGCCTTTTTAAATCTGTTGGACCATGAGGTGATTTTCCCATGGAGTTCTCCGGCGGACAGAAACCGAGAGCCGAGTGTGGGTGCCGAGGAGGTCGGGATCTGGGGTTTCGAGGAGGAAGTCATAGTTGTGAAGGGGGGGAGTGGCCCTCCCAATGACGGGAGGCTTGCCACCGGCAACGATTAGCCGGATATGGAGTTGGGGGGGGAATGGT